ATATGCTTGTTATTCTAGTATTAGGAACGTGGAGGCAGGGGCATCACTAGATAGGCAGTGGCTAGATAGGGCCTTTGAACCCAGCCTAGGCTGTATGAGATTCTGTGTTTAAAAAAAAAAAGAAAAGAAAACAAAACAACAACAACAAAAAGCAGAACAGAAAAAGATGTAAGAGGAGAGGAAAAGACAGGCATGGGACCTGAGTCAGAGTTGAGTGAGAAAGAGGTTGTGTGTGGAGCACCTGGCTGTGGTGGAGGACTCCCCAGAGGGCCAGAGACTCAGTTGCTTCCCTCGAACCCTTTCAGGCAAAGCCCCAGCTGGTGGGGGCTGCCGGCGCCAGCGGCGAGGGGTCCGAGGGGGCCCAGCGGCACCTCGGCGCCGGCGCCTGGCAGCCTCCCGAAGGGCTGGGGGCAGCAGGGGGCTGGGGGCCCGGCGCCTGGAGCGGAGGCTGAAGGAGTCACTGCAGAACTGGTTCCGGGCTGAGTGTCTCATGGACTACGACCCACGGGGGAATCGGCTGGTGTGCATGGCCTGCGGCCGGGCACTGCCCAGCCTACACTTGGACGACATCCGTGCTCACGTGCTGGAGGTGCACCCCAGCTCCCTAGGGCTCAGTGGCCCCCAGCGCAGTGCCCTGCTGCAGGCCTGGGGTGACCAGCCTGAGGCTCTGTCTGAGCTCACCCAGCCCTCACCAGGTGCGAGGCTGTCCCAGGGCTGAGATCCCTTCAGTATTTGGGAGGCAGGGATTTTTGGTTGAGGGCTGCAGGCCTATTTTCCCTTTACACACAAACATTCAACTTCCCACCCATCTCTCTCTGGCTGGGGCCGGCTAGCTTGGGGCTGGGGTGAGGAGTAAGGATGGAACCCTCTTGTGTGGGTAAGGACAACCCAGCCAGAAGGCTGAGAGCCCTTCTCCTTCACCCCTTCCCCAACAGACGATGACCTCGTCCCCCAGGACCTGACCAGAAAGAGCCGGGACTCCGCCCCCGCTTCTGGAGCCCCCTCCTCTCAGGATCTCAGCCCCCCAGACGTAAAGGAGGAGGCTGGCTGGGTGCCTGAGAGGCCCGGGCCGGCGGCGGAGGAGGAGGCCGAGGAGGGCGAGGGCGAGGGCGAGAGGGCGGGCATCCCGGGCCGGCCTCGGAGGGGCCGAGACCATCGCCGCCACTACCAGGAGCGCTGGCGGCTGGAGTACCTCATGGAGCTGGACGGCTGCCGGCGCGGCCTGGTGTGCATGGTGTGCGGGGGCGCGCTGGCCTCGCTCAAGATGAGCACCATCAAGCGACACATCCGCCAGCGCCATCCCGGCTCCAACAGCCTCAGCGGGCCAGTCAAAGCCCTCATCGCCCAGGAGTGGAGCGAAAAGGCCGCACACCTGCTGGCCCTGGGGCTGCCCAGGCCGGAGTCGCCCAGCGGCCCCGTCGCCCCCAGCACAGCCTCAGCCTCTGAGGAGGGGGGAGGGGCCGAGGAGGCGGAGCCAGAGGAGGAGTGGTGGGGTGAGCCTGTGGAGGGCCAGAGCTACTGGCAAGGGAGAGAGGGCAGGGCTCGGCGGGAAGGGTGGCGAGAATGGAAGGCTGTAGAGAGACGGGAGGACGGCACCGGAGAGTAGTGGAGAGCAGGACTGGGCCTAATTCTTGCCACTGGCTCCAAGGTAGCCCTTTGTTCTTCTCCAGGCGACGCGCCGCAGTCCCCTGGAGCTCCGTCGGAGCGACCTGCCGAGGAAGAGGAGGACGAAGATGACAGCCAGGAACCCGGGGGCCTGGCCTTCCCACCGCTGCCACTGCCGCCACCGCCACCTCCCCCGCCGCCGCCGCCTCGTAGTCGGGAGCAGCGGCGCAACTACCAGCCGCGCTGGCGGGGCGAGTACTTGATGGACTACGACGGCAGTCGACGCGGGCTGGTGTGCATGGTGTGCGGGGGCGCGCTGGCCACGCTCAAGGTGAGCACCATCAAGCGACACATTCTGCAGGTGCATCCCTTCTCTATGGACTTCACCCCGGAGGAGCGCCAGACCATTTTGGAGGCCTACGAGGAGGCCGCGCTGCGTTGCTACGGCCACGAGGGCTTCGGGCCACCTGCTCCGGCGCCACGAGACAGCGGCGCGGATCTCAAGCCTGGCGCAGTGTGTCGCGCGTAGCAGTCACCCTGCTATGGCCTGGCCCTTGGGCTGAGAGACCTTGATGTCAGGCCCTGGGACCCTCACCGCCCCGCTGGCCGGGCTAAACCAGGGCTGCGGATGGGAATGGGATGGCGCCGCTGCAGTCCTCCGGTGACACTCCTCTGTGCCAGCCTTAGTATTTGCGCCTCTGGCGCGCAATAGCCTTGGGGTCCCGGCGCTCTTTGTGGGGTGCTCCGCGCTTCCTGAAAAGCCAAAGCGCCTCCGCAGTGTTCGCAGTGAGCACTCTCGGCGGTCCCCGGGGGCGCAGTGCTGCCAGGCCGGGGTGGGGGCGCAGTCAGTCAGTATTAGGGTTGAAGGCAGGGCGCAGGGAAGTCAGGAAGGACGGGCTGGCCACAAGCCCTGGCCAGTGGCCCAGTTCTATGCGGCCTCACGCCAGCGGGCGCGGCTTTCGGCTCCCAGGCTGTGGGGTCCAATAGGTATTCTTGGCCTCTCAGAGGCCCAGGCAATGGACTGGGGCTGAGCAGTGGGCGGGGTGCGGGCGGAACGGTGGGGCCCAGTCTGCTGCGCCAGCTTCCCCGGCTGGCCTAGGGGACAGCGCACCCATCCTGGGCCACTGCCACGCCTTCGGGACCGGGGGCATAAAGGGATTAGCACTTTTTCTTTTGGCCCTCCTGCTCAGAGGGCTTCTGTTACCCACATGGTGAAAGCAGCAGGAGCACTCTTGGTCCAGTGCCAGTACTGTTCCACCTCAGAGCGCTGGAGCGGTTGGGCTCTATTACTGCCCCCTCTGAACGTGAATTGTTCTCGGTGGACACGCTACTGGTTCTCAGCTCCCAGGGCTTGGGGTCTGGCCTTGGGCCTCCCTTGCTCTTACCCGAAACAGCGCCAGGCCCCGTGGTGCCAAAAGGGCCCCTCAATCTCCCAGGCAGGTCCGAGAGGGATATGTAGATTTCATTCTCCCGTGGAGAACAGGTGGTCCGAAGATCAGGCCCTTTTCTGCTCTTTGTATTTTATTTTGAAACTGTATTTAATGCTTTTTATATCAAGGGGAGAGGGGAACTGGCCCAATCACCCTTACGTGCAAATGTCTTATTTATTATGCGTGTATCAGAGATAAGCTGTGAGGTGGTGGAGGAAGAACTGAGATGGGAGTGTGGTGAGGGGATTGGGAGTATTCTAGGTATCTCCATGTTCCCTTGGCCTTTTGTCTCCAGGTCCAGTGTCTGCTCTTCACAAAGGGAAGTCACTGCAGGCACTGTGCCCTCCTTTTAAAGTCAGGGTGTGGTGGTCAAGGCGTGGGACCCGGGTTCTGGGGCCAGTGCAGCCCTTGTGGTGAGAAAACAAGAAAAGAAATCCCTTCTCACCCTCCAGAGCCAGAGCTCAAGGTTCAAGTGCCTCAGGCCCAGTTCCCTAGATAGAGAGATGGATTTTATACCACGGATTTTATAGCATTTTTTATAATTCAAGATTGTCAGTGGGAAGGGACCCTGGAGCTTACAAACTGATCCCTTTAAAATCTCAACTCCCAGTTCAGTGAGCTTTGCACTATATTGCACTGCTTCCAATCTGGCAAGTTACCAAGACTTCTTTACCTATTAGGCCTGTCAAAGTGTGTGTTGGGCACTGCAGGTCCACAGCACTTGTGATTCCTGAGGACAGCAAAGTACTGTACTTCCTGGGAATGAGGATGCAGGCGCTTTCAGCAGTGCAGACATGTCAGTCAGAACTCCAGGTGGGGCCCACTTTCCCTGCCGCTGAGGTTTCCCCAGCGGAATTAGGCTGCTTATCTGTGCTTGTTTTGAGGCCATCAGGTATTCTGGAACGGCTGCTGGCTCAGTGAAATTCCAGTTTTGACCAGCCAGGGTTTTGGAGACAGTATTAAAATCTTAAGAACAGAGATTATGGATAGTGCCAGGGTGTGCACTTACCCTTTTTTGCTTTCCATCATGCATGTTTTTAAGCTGAGGATGATTATCCTCTCCCACCTCCACATAAATTGGAGCTGCTGGTTGTGGTTGGCAGAGCTCACTGCAGAAGTTCAGGTTAGCTGGGCCAAATGATTTCAGCAGTCTCCAGGGTAGCATCATCTTGACACTTGATGGAGACACATTCTTGGGCCCACCTGATTACTAAAAAAGGGTGGGGCCCACAATACATTTTGATAGGCCTTTCCCATACAGTTGCAACTCTCAAGGTGGTTGTCAAGTACCTCTGCAGTGATTCTGCCATGATGACCTATGGCCTCAAGGGGCTGGTGAGTCTCCTCCCTTGGAGTCTGACATGAACAGGTGAAGTTCCTTCATTGTTTTGTTAAAGATTATGCTTGCTATTATGGCCCATATGTAAATGTTACTCTGGATACATATTTATATGCCATGTTACTTAGTGACACTATTCAAACATTTGTATGTGTATTTGTGAAGTTGTTTGCATCAGTCATAAAGTAGCCCACCCCCCACCCCCCAGAGGTATGTTGAATAAAATCAAGAAGTCCAGCCATGAGTCACAGTCAACTTAGTTTGGGGGCAGAGCAAGTCAGAGTAGTTCTGATGTCAGACCAGATATGCAATGACCATCTCAGTTTTAGCTGCATGTGGTTTACAGGCTGCTTCCTGTGGCAAGTGGGGAATCTTCCTATTCCCAGGCAGGTGAGAGGCTGAACCAGAGCCTTTCAGCCCAGTCACTTCTAAGGTCATCCTTTATGGGGTCTCTTAACTTCATTTTAGAAACCAAATGTAGTGCAGCTTGTGCTCAGTGCCATGGGAATCCTTGCAATCTTGGGAGTTCTTTTTCAAAGTTCCTGAAATGAGGGTGGGAGTGAGCGAAAGCCTTTGCTCTCACTTCACCCAAACTGTGTACAAAGAATAAAGTTGCAGACTGATGAGACAGTCACTGTGTGTTTTATTTATAATTAATACATCAATTTGCAGTTTTACAGGGACCAAAAGAACTCCTTGGTACTACTGTATTTTATTTTGCACGCACAGACACGTACACAATTTCATTAGTAATTTTTCATCTCTACATTTTTCTTAAAAAAAAAAAACAACAAACTCTCATGTGACACAGAAATCTTTCTAATTATTTTAACACAGCGGCAGCAACAAAGAAAAGAGCAAGGTGTGGAGGCTTCCAGTGCAGAATGGGGTCCCTTGTTAGGAGACTCCAAAGACCATCGGTGCATTCGCTTCCATGGAGGGCAGAGGATGGTGATGGAGTGTTGTCTACAGTGGAAACCAAGGATTCAAAATGTACAGGGGTAAAGAAACTTAAAACAGAGTAAGGCATTCTATCTATTGAAATCTGTAAGTCATTTCCCAAAAGGATTGGAAAGAGGACCCATTCCTACTTTTACAGTCACAGAACTTTGTGACCATCAAATACCTTGAAGTCCCCAGCTCTTACTTTCTCACAGTAGAGCAGGGCTGAGAACTGAAGGACTCTTGGATGCCAGTTTTCAAGCTGACTGGGTTTCCATGCTGAAGGAGAGATGCAAGGTCTCAGATAAGAAATCAAGATCCCCAGACACCTCCACTGATGCCATTGTAAGTTCTGTTGTCTTATCAGTATCACCTGGTCTTGCTTGGCCACACACAACCTAAAAGTTCTGGAAAACACTCTCTAAAATGAGTACTGTGGTTCATGGTTCAGACTATTTCATCAATATGTCTGAAAATGGAGATCCTTTCAGAACTGCACTGACTGAAAGCAGCTGCGTGTCATGCTTTTAGAAATGTACCTCCTCTTATCAGCCAAGGCCTCTGACTACAACTAGTCTCTGATTAGTCTGACTACATGACTTGCAGTCAGTGGGGCTTTGGTCCTCAGGCTAAAGCACTGCAAAGCACTGGTGGCAACAGCAGGGGTGGCAACAGCAGGGAAGAAACAGAAGGAATGCTTTTCATATTCTGTACCTCACTCCCCACAGACTGAGATAGGATTACAATAACTCAATGGCTGGGAGCCCACATGCAGATTATTTTTCTTAACAAGTTTATAGCAGTGTACAGCAGTTACAGACATTTATTTCATAATAAGAAAAGTACAACCATATTTATTAAACTTGAGGTAAGGTGGGCAAGGAAAAGAGGGAAAAGCACATTCTGGAATGATTTCTCAAACCATCACTTACACTGGTACCCCAGACCAATGGCTTGGACACTGCCCTCCCAGCTGGCAGAGCCCTTCCTTCCCTAGGAAGAGCAGCAGAGAGGGTGGCTGCTGCCCTCCTGCTGACTGCTCCATCCAGTGTCTCCCTCACCACCCTGTATTTCTCAAGTGGCATTCTGGAAATAGGGAATCACCTCTATCACCTGTAAGTTATTCAGAGCAGACAGTTCTTTCATTAAGGAAGAAGAGGAGCAGTAAGAGTAGCTGCTTGTGTGTGAGGCAGGAATGTGGGACTGGAAGGCCATACAAACCCAATGGAAGAAATCCCACTCTTGCCCCAGACTATTTATTCATAAGTTAATCATTATTCCCTAACTTAAAAATAAGGGCAAAATTGTAAATGGGAGCTGTGTATGAGTCCTTGAAACTGGATAGAGGACCCTAGAGACATGGCTCTTTTCTATTCCCCTCTTATGATACATGTAAAGCTCCACAACCACTGTGCTCTCAGTAATTCTATTAATCTGATTCAATCTTTATTCTTTAGGGTTCTAAGAGATCAGTTCTTTTTTCAGTCTAACACATCTTGTGCTTGGTACTGAGGGTAAAGGGAGAGGAGGGGAGAACACCAAATTAAAAAGAACAAACAACTTGGAACCAAACTGGCTGACACTGAGCAAGTTCCTTCATAGTACAAGTGACGATGTTATGACTATTAAATGGTGTTTTAGTAACTGTTGCAATTCTGGCTTCCATGTGCTTATTCTGCCTTTTTTTTGGCGATTCCAGGAAGCTTTGCTTGGATCCTATTGAGGAAAGAAAAAGAAAACTGAAAATATTTGTTTTTAATATACATTTGTTCTAGGTCTATTCCCCAGGAATGGGTGCAATCAGGTAGGGCTCAGTTGTCTGGAACAAGCCTGAGGGGGTCCCACCACACTGCCATTACTGCAGGGCCTGAGTCTGTTTCACTACAGTGATCCCTGGGCCCTTCACTGGGATCCAGGAAGAATCAAAAAGTCCATTTCTTTTGCTTTGTGAAGTACAAGAAAAGGTGTCAAAAAGGAATGACAAGTTAGCAAGACTAGATGTGTGAAAAGGACATGGCTGGTTGGTTCATGGTTCTCTGAACTACTAGGTCTCTGAACTACAAGAGGACATCAGAGCTGCCTTTTACTCTGGTGAAGTGGTCATTTGAACCTTCAGTGATGTCAAAGCTGCTCTCCATAGATGTGACATCTCACAGAGGGTTATACACATCAACTAACACTTTCAACAACAAAGCAGGCCTGGTGAACAGTACCAATTGTATTTCAACAATGTATTTCTGTGAGTGTACAATAAAACAAACAAGTCAGGTGAGGATTCTGGCATCAACACCCACCTGCCTGGCTTACATTCAGTTTCTTCTTTTTGCTTTGTCGATGGAAATCTGGAGCCATGTATGCTAAGCAAATGTTTTACCGCTAAACTACACTCCTAACCCATTCAGCTTCCTCTTTTTTTTTTTTGGTTTTTCGAGACAGGGTTTCTCTGTGTAGCCCTGGCTGTCCTGGAACTCATTCTGTAGACCAGGCTGGCCTCGAACTCAGAAATCCGCCTGCCTCTGTCTCTCCTCCCAAGTGCTGGGATTAAAGGCGTGCGCCACCACTGCCCTGCCCGGCTAATCTCAGATTTCTTAATGAGGAAGGAGAAAGGAGATTCTCTTCCAGGGTTCACATCCTTAACCAGGTGGCCCAGCTTAGTGAGGATCCACTCCTTGTTTTTAACTTTACTTCCTGTGCCCTGGGGCTTCTGCCCTGGCCACAGCTGGATTGAGGAGCCACTCAGGCTTGGTCACTGCCCGGCTAAAATTAGTTACTTTTGACAGTAACATTTATATAAGAGACTAAACAATAAGGGGGAGGGGTCCACATGGGAAATAGTGAACATGGTCCCTAAGTACACTTACTTTTCAACAATTGACTTGGTCTGATCCCGGGCAATCCCAACATAGTGGTCAATCTGCGTCTTTAAGAAAGAAAGGAAGGAAAGAAGGCTCAGCTGGGCAATAAAGGGGCTAAGAATTTTTAATTTCAAAATTTTTCATACAATATATATTTTGGTAATATTCTCACTTCCCCAAAAAGGCACTCTTCTCCTGTTTAGTGCAACCATTAAAAATCCCACTATTCACTATTCATGAAAATAAAAATGATGTCTAGTTTTTCAGAAGTTACAAACTTCTGTTTTCAGATTTCAACAACACTTCAAAATAAAAATTACACATCATTTGTAGAACTAGAACTTACGTGGTGTTTTCTGTAGCAACACTGAAGTACTTTCTAAGTATTGGAAACTGCAGATTTAATCTGTATTCTGTAGTTGTGATGTGTTTTGGCTCCAGGGCATTATTAATTCATTTAATAATAAAAAGCCAAAAATATTTTTGTTTATATGTATGTACATATCAGTGCATGTGTGTATGAGTGTGCATGTGTCTATGGAGGCAAAATTTGGATATAAGGTTTCTCTTCAATTGCTCTCTACCTTTTAATTTAATTAATTTAAAGATAAGGTCTCATGGAACCTAAGCTGGCCTCCAATTTACTAAGTAGATAAGGATGAACCATGAGTTTCTGATCTTCCTGACTCACCTCCGACATACTATAGGTATGCACCACTATATACAATTTATGTGGTGTTAGGGCTCAAAACCCAGGGGCTTATACATACTAGGCAAGTACTTTACCAACTAACCACATCCCCAGCTATCTACTGTATTTTTTGAGACAGTTCAGTCCCTCACTGAACCTATAGCTCACTGATTTGGTTAGAATGGCTGGCCAACCAGCCCCAGAGATCCTCCCCAGGGCTCAGATTGCAGGTGTACATTTAACACCAAGTATTTTTATGTGGGTGCCTGAGATAAGAACTCAGGTTCTCATGCTTGTGTGACAAGCATTTTACCAACTGAGCTATCTCCCTAGCTCTCCCAAAAGGTCTTCAGATGGATAGCTAATATACTTGGTCCACAATGGAAACATCTGCTCACACTAACATTTCCTTCAAACTGCAGTTTAGTTTTTAGAAGCTTAGCTTTAATATAAAGCATCTTTTTTTTTTTTTGGAATGGATAATTCATCTCTATGACACAGAACATCTATCTAGGTCTCCAGTCTCTCTTATTATCAGTTTCTTACTTTGCTTAAAATGAACTGAAGCCAGTCACACATTTCTCAGCATATCTGCTCCAGACAAATGCCTACCTTATACTTCTCATAGACAATTGGGACGCTGAAAACAAGCAGCTCGGCTGTAAGACAGAATAAAAACACAGTAAGTGCAAATGTGAGACTCAAGCAGCATAGATATTTCTTCATGAAGTATAGAGAAACAATCAAAAAGAGAAAAATAAGAGCTCTCGCAATTGAGAATAGCTAGGAGAGAGCAGATACAGATAGTGTTGAAAACCCGTAACAGGCTATTTTCTTTGTATGACAGGTGTCAGCTTCTAAACTACAAATGTGGTTTCTAAAAACAAAGTCCCCATATTTAACCAAATTTAAACAGTGTTCTTTATTCAGAGTTGCTTTGAAATCCTTTGTGAAACCATTTAATAAACTCTCAGTTACAAGCCCAGGTTACTCTAATATCTACAGCACTCTCTATAGATATCGCAGGCTGGCCATGTGGAGTAAGTGGTCATGCTGTGTACATACTCTTTACACAACTACTCTACTCATGGGCTACGTTTTTGTGGTTGCTGTTTGTTTTATTGATGGTCTTATATATCCTCAGTGGGCCCAGAACTCATTATGAAGCTTAACATGATGCTGAATTCCTTAACTTCCTGATTCCTTCTACCTAGTGCTGGTGTTATAGTTGTACACCATCATGCCTGGCTGCCCTGGCCTTTTTTATTTTTTTATTTTTTTATTTTTCTTTTGAGACAGGGTCTTATTAAGTTACCCAGGCTGACCTTGAAGGTTTGATTCTCCTGCCTCAGCTTCTTGAACACCTTTGATTATAGGTGTGTACCATCTGGCTCAGCATTTACAGTTAATCTTACAAGTCTTTTAAAGAAATAAGCACATAGACACACTTTCCTTGTCACCTTACCGAGAATCAGAAGGGTAATTCCATTAAAAACAGCACCAACATAGGTCATCAGCCACATGAAGACAGCCAGCTGTGAAGGTCAATGTCAGAAGGTTAAATAAGAATAAAGATACCCCTGAGTTCAAGCTAACTAGGTTTGCATCAATGCAGTGTCTTATGACACAGATCACCCATGTGCACTTATAGTCAGAAAACTCACTGTCTTGGGGTCTATAAAGAGACTAGTAATTACAGGGTGTTGTGCTGATGACCGCTAGTCTACTGCTGCTCTCCAGAGGGAGGTGGCAGCTTTCTGTTGATAGCTATCTTGTTTTTACAGGCTTTCTCTTTTCTGATAAAACCCTATATGCCCTATTTTACCTCTAAATTAAAGCCCAGCAACTAACCTTCAAGGAGTCAACCAAGTCTTCTACCAGAAAGAGACGAATAATGAGTTTGAGGGCCTTGTTGACATGCACCATTGCAGCATTCATATAGTTGTGGAAAGCTTCTGAGGACAGTGTAATGTCCACATCCAGGTAGGCCCTTCAGAGGAAGAAAAAACAGTCACACATGTGACACACAAGGGGAAATTCTTCAACAGCACAGTGGTATTTTAGTGTGAAATCAGCATTCTAGATATCTGTAGGGGACACAGCTGTCCTTTACTGAATAAAAGCTAATATGCCAGTTATCTATGAATTGTAAGGCTTTCATGTACAACGAAGAACTATCTGGTGTGGATATATCAAAATACATTCTGTGGGAATGTATATCAGATAGCAGAGGACTTGCCTAGCACACATGAGATCCTGGTTCAATCTTCAGCATTATAAAACAAACAGGTAAAAACCAAAAATTCATTTGTATGTGTTTGTGTGAATTTGTATGTGGAGGTCAGAGAACAATTGTGGCTTTGTCCTCTCTGTCCTGTCCGCCTGCCTGCCTATCTATCTATCTATCTATCTATCTATCTATCTATCTATCTATCTA